TACTTTCAAGTGGTGTATTACTTCATACATGAATCGAGGAAATTTGACAAGACAGCAGGAAACTTTTAATACACGCGTTTCGCAGACAAGACAAACAATTGAAAGAGCATTTGCTCTTTTATTTGGTCGATTTAGGCGATTAAAATATTTGGACATGAACAGAATCGATTTAATACCTACAACAATACTTGCATGTTGTGTGTTTTGCATAACATATGCCTTGATTTTGATGATGATTTAATACGCGAATATATACAAGAAGGTATGGAGGCAATAATGCGTAATGAACAGGAAGATATTATAAATGAGGTAAATGAAGAGGAAAAACGACTTGGAAATGAGCGACGAGATGCACTGTGCAGAGAATTAAATTATCAGCAATCGACAAATATGATTTCTGAATGCATGTTATTTTAAAATATTCCTGTTTTATTAGATTGATTTTGGAGTTTAAAGAATAATTGATTTTTAATATATAAATATATTTTTTTATACATTGCACATATGCATATATACATATGTAAAGGAAAATATTCTATAATAATATAAGATATAATATAATAGAACTCAAATAATACTTTTGAAAAATATAATATACCAAGCCTAAAGCCTATTCTACATTGGTCGTATCGTAGCATCGTAAACGTCGTGAGACTTTAAATTGACACATCGGATTGACTGTTGCAACAAATTTGTGACCTGCGATGCCTATGATACGACCAATGTAGAATGGGCTTAATATAGGATTCACACTGCGTACGACATCCGACGTACGACGGTACGATATCCAATAGCAGAACTTGTTTTCTAGATGCAACAAAATATTGTTAGCTATATATCTAGAAAACAAACCCTCCTATTGGATATCGTATCGCCGTACGATGGATGTCGTACGCAGTGTGAATCCTACATTAAAATAATACATTTTTATTTCATTATCTTGGCAATTTTTCAGACAAATGTAGTAACAGCATCTTTGTCAGATTAAAAAAAATTAAAATAGAACTATTACAACTGTCCTTTGTTCTTATAAAAAAAATATATTGAATAAAATCTTTCTTGAATAACTAATACCATTCGATCTTATTTTTTTTTTATATCTATTCTGATAATCATATAATCTATACTTTTAAATATAATATACTACCAAGACTAAAATAAAACTTTTTATTTTTTTTACCTTTGCGATTTTTTAAATAAATGTATTATAAATTGTATCTTTGGCACAATTTAAAAAATTAAAAACTAACACAGCATTTTTCCTCTATTCAAGAAAAAATGATAAATAAAACTTGAATTATTGAGAGTACTTTTTCATAACAGACAAACTTAATCTTGGAAAGATAATACAACCACTCAGATTAGCACATTACACAAACACGCTAAACTTAAACAATTCTGATGGAAATCATCATTGAATAAATCATTTTTTGAATATGTACTTTGATAATCTTATAATTAATGCTAATTCTAATACTTAATTCGGTATTTTATATATATATATATATATATATATGTTGCAATATAATAAATTAGACGGAACAAAAGCAATCTTCTCGCAACTTGAAACTTATTCAGTAATTTGTCCATCATGCGTTCGTGAGAAGTTATACTTTGTCGAAGAAGTTCTTGTCTTTGTTCATGTTTGGCCTTTTTCGTTTTTTCTTTTTCTTCAAGTATCATTTTCAGATCGCTAAGAGTTATTGCACTCGCTCTCTTTCGCTGTTTCTTTTCACAATCTTTTACATCGCTAAACTCCCCCTGCATAACTGTAAAATAGCAATATAATAAATGAAAAGGAATTCTTTTATAAACACACATTTATGAAATAGTAATGTTTATATCATACTATTATATCGTATCTAATATTTATATATACCTTTCGACCTATTATCATTTTCTGATGAACTAGCGATAGCGACAGGAATAACGTTGGGTTTATTTCCAAACAGTTCGTCAAGTTCTTTGAAGTTATCACATTTTAATGGTGCTGCACCAGTACTTTTAGGACCCATGTTATCTATTTTTTTAAAGTACTTTTTTTTCATATATTTCATTTTTTCTTTGCATTGTGTCGCAGAAAAATTATAACCTTCGCATTTCATATCACAAGTAATTTTAGTCCAGACATCATCTTTTTTGATAATATTGGAATCAAAATCACATTTGTATTTTTTGTATAAGTGTAGAAGCATTGCTCTACTTTTATCTGTCCACATATTTTTCATTTCTTTATTCAAAGTTCTTCCATTACTCTCTTTTAAGATTCTCGGATCTATGTTTTCAGTTTCCTCTGAATGATATGTACAGTCAGATGGAATGACTACAACAGCATCTTTTTCAGGTGGTAACAACATCTCGAATCCATACGGTTTCAACACATTAGGAATGTGATCAGTTACAGAAATGAAATCAAGTTTACCTGCTGTACAATATATATAATTTAAGAAGGTTGTATTATTTTTAAATAAACAGTTTAATAATTCTCTACCCAGCATCCGAGAATGGATTGGATTTTTTTCTATTCGAATTCGTATTTTAAACAGCAAAAACTTTTTTTTTGATTCAATTGAATTCAATTGGATTCAATTGGATACAACTGGATTGAAAAACTGCGTTTCCTATTCAAAACTATGAATTGAACAGTATTCACTATGGTCACAAACGCACTGAAGAAGCTAATATTATTTTATGATTGAAAAGTATACAGATATGCTCCATGCAATTCCTATAAATGAATAAAAACGTATTTGGATTGAAAAGGATTCATTTTAACACTCACGAATCCATATTTATGAAAATTTGAATCTATTTGAATCCATTTCAATCCATTCTCAGATACTGGGTAGCTTAGACTTTCTATAAAGCTATTTTTACAAAATAAAAATAGATTAATTAAAATTAAATGCTGTAAGAGTTAAACACTAGTTAATAATGTATAAATGTTATATGAACTTTTATTAAATTAACATCAAAATTAAAATATTTAAATATCTCTAATTTGCATTTAGATTATCTTCAGTAATATATATATTATTGTGAGTTTTAACACATAAATTTGCATATTTCTCCACGAGATACTATAAATTTCAACGCATAAATTTACATACGAGTATTATTTCTACTATGTTCAATCATGAGATCGTAAAAGTTCAAAAATTTATGTGTGTTGTAGATTCCTTTTGTCGAGCTATTTTTAGACTCTCGTTAGAATTTTTCTTACACGGAAGTTACTACAAAGAATGTAACAAAATTCCAATGATAGCTCAATGAAAAAAATCTGTTCATATATATCTTTGAATTTTTACGACAATCTCATGGATGAACATAGTAGAAATGTGCGAATATATGCATGTTGAAATTTACATTAATACCACATGTAAATTATTGAAAATGGTCTAAACGTTTATTTTAATTTTAATATTAATTTAATAACAGCACATTATACACAACAAACCAGTGTAGGCTCTTAATGCATTTAATTTTAATTGATTTATATCGTTAAAGCCTCATTTGACTTTAAAGAAAATATATATATTAATAAGAAAGAAAAACGCGTTTTTAGTGCAATTTGTGTTTATTGAGATATGATGGTGATCCCAAACATGTATTGTGCAAAAACAAGATATATGACATTTTATGAACGTCAAAGAGATGTCTTAAAGACGTCTAAAACACATCTTCAAGATATTTTATATCTCAAATTTGGACTTTTTGTTGTTCGGGAATATAACCTTTAAATATATACTTTATGGATAACTCACTTATTTCGTCGTGTAATAAAACTTTTGACATTTCTGTTGTGTCGAAAATTGGGGCTCCATCGGCACCTTCTATTACTTTATAAGAAATATGATGTGACATTTTAAATATCAAAGATATATAGTCGTATCGTTTCAGCATGCGTGCAGTATTATAGCGGTAACCTACAAATAAGAACTTCCAAGACTCGTGTATTACGTAAAAAATGCGTCTCTGCGCATGACGAGTAAACTCTACCTCAGTCACGAGCAGGGTACGTTGAGGAATGCCCTGAGTAATCCTTGAGAAGCTTTATGAACGTTTGTGGGTAAAGGTAACTTTTCCATTTTCGATTTTCCGAACGGGGTCGGAGGCATTTTTACCCTCTGGGTAACGTTTACGAACGCAGCCTAACACGATCAACTAGAGTTTAATCGAGACGTAAATATTTCATCGCGAACGATGTGGCCGCCATGTGTTCTGACGTAATGCATTGGCGTCGAGATGCCCAAATCTGCTCATTTCCTCCAGCCAATCACGTAATTGGTTACGTGACCAAGTTGGCGATTCTCTCTACTAGAGGTTCTCTAGGTGTAATGGGATGGGTTCAACGGCTTTGCAATAAGGTAGAAGTCTTTCATCTGCCTATCAATGAGCCTCTCAAACATTTTTAAGATGAAGGTTGTGAGGCTGATAGGTCTATAGTCCTTGGCCATCACATGGCCATTTTTACCTGGTTTTGTATAAATACCACTTTGGTATCACTCCAGGCTTCCGGAACATGCCTCAGTGCTATGCTAGCCTTGAGCACTCTCGTCAGGGGACCTACTAAAACCCTCCTACCCTCCCTGAATAGTACAGGGTAGATGCCGTCTGGTTCTGGAGTCTTGTATGGTTCGAAGGTCTTAATAGCCCATTCAATTCCCTTCAGGAGAAGGGACTCCATTCAGGGAATCCATTCAGGAGTCACCACCTTGGCTGCCAGTGTCCATTCTCTTGGTTTATGTTTTTCCCCGGATTTCTTGGTTTTCTGTTAAGATTAACAGTAACCTTCCTGGAACCCTGGGAAGTGTGTATCAGGTATGTAAATATGAAACCGGAATTTTTTTTATAGAAAAGACACGTTTATTGCATGAAAATGACAAAAAATATTTTATTCGAAGTATTTCCCATCGCTAGCTATACATTTTGCCACCTGTCTGACAATTTGTGGATGCCAAGCCAAAAAAATTGTTGCTCTTATGAGCCAAACCAGTTATCTAGCCATTTTCGTACATCTTCGTAAGAAGTAAAGCGCTGCTGAGCAAGTGCGTGTCCCATCGATGCAAATAAGTAGTAATCGGACGGAGCCAAGTCTGGTGAGTAAGCGGCATGCGAAAGTATTTCCCAATCAAACGTTTCAATCGTTTCTTTGACCTGTTTGCTGTGTGTGATGAAGCATTATCATGAAGCAAAATCACTTTGTGTTGCCTTTTTTGATATTCCGGTCGTTTTTCACGCAAAGCTTGATTCAAATTGATCATTTGTTGTCGGTAACGTTCAATATTAACGATTTCGCCAGGTTTTAGCAGGTTTTAGCAGGTTTCGGTGGTTTTCCACGTTCTTCGTTTCTCACGTCAAAATCGCCACTTTTGAATTTTTTAAACCACTCAAAGCACTGTGATTTACCAAGAGCATGCTCACCGTAAGCTTCGACAAGCATTCGATGCGATTCTGCAGCAGTTTTCTTCAAATAGTAACGGAAAATCAATTGCTGTCCGCGAATCGTAGTTTCTAGGCGCAAAATTCGACATATTCAACGCTATTACAAACTATACTGTTGTATGAAACTTGTATTGTTGTGAGTTGAAAATCTTTGTTAGATGTCAGAACAAGGAAATGGCGTCAATGACGCGGTCTGACAGCAACTACATTGGACAGCTATGGCCGTCTAATGGTAAATTCCGATTTCATATTTACATACCTGATAGACATAAGGTGTTTTAAACTTTCCTCTACTGTCTTGGTGTAGTTTCCGTTTGGGAGTTTAAGACATCCCAATCGTAGGGTGTTATCTTTGCTGAGGATTCTGTTTAGCCTGGATGCTTCTGAAGTACTCTCAATGCCTTTATTGAAATCCCTCCAGCTTTTCCTTTTCGCAATGATTATTGTTTTGCTATAACCGCGTTGGGCATTTCTATTAGCTTCCCAATCGGCTGTTGAGTTTTTCCTCCTTGCTTTGTTGAAGAGTCTTCTTACCTCCAACCTGTGTTTCGAAAGCTCCTTGTTTCACCAGGGAGTTTTGGTTTTAGAGTATTTTGGCCTCTCCGGGCAGTTACCTTCGTAGGCTTCTTTTATCGCGTCACTTACAAACTTCGCCGCGTATTCAAGATTCTCTTCTGAGTGAAATCTGTTTGGGGCTTTTTTCAGGATGGCCTCCAGGTCCATCCTATAGCCTTCCCAGTTTGTAGTCCTTGGGTTACGACCCCATTCTTTATTCACCATATACCGGAGATTGTAGCGAATCTGTCTATGGTCAGAACCTGAGGGCTCTCCAGAGACCCTCCAGTTCCGCACCAGGTCCGCCACTCCCTCAGTACAAATGGTGATATCTAATACTTCTTGTCTTCTGCAGTCCATGAAAGTGGGTACCGTTCCTCTGTTAAGGATCATCAAGTTGATGTCCATAATGAATTTGTGGAGGCTCTCACCCCTCGGATTTATATTCGAACACCCCCACCCTATATGGTGGGAGTTTGCGTCGCAGCCCAATAGGAGCCAAGGCTCCTGAATTATTACTATTACTGTCTGCATCACAGCCATGCTCCTGGCTAGAATCGCCGAGGCGCCTTTGCTGTGATGCAAGTTAATTTGGGCTATTGGTACCGCGAGTCTCGCCATTTTTAAGCTGACCCGCTCGCACCGGCAGTCATTTCCTCCTTACGTTCTATGTCGAGCAATCTTATGGTCGTCCGACCCAGCCCACAGAAGGGTTTAAAACCGCAGGTCTTGAGGACTTCCAGTGAGCGATTGCCGATCAGAGCAGCGAAGTGGGCGCTTTTCGCGTCCCTACTTACGCTACCCCTCACAACGACCCACTCCCTGGTGCCCAGACCTGCGTTTTGTCTGTCGAGGAGCTTTATAGCTTCCTCGCCAGCCATATCAAGTTCCTCTACATGTACTACCACCCGATGGCACTTGGGTAGCTCCCCGGCCGGCAGCACACGCAGAACGGTGCTTCCGATTTTAATTTCGGTGGAAAGGCTTTTCAACCAATCCACCGATTTCTGGTTGGTGCAGTTAAAAATAACTGCGCCATCCCTCTCCCAAGTGCCGGTGAAGGTGGGCGCTAGCCCATCCTCGGGAAGTTCGAGGATATGCCCCCTGACCAGTCGCCTGATCTCCTTCACCTCTTTTTTCTCAGGATAACCTTCTGGAACGAATGCCATCCTGATCATGCCCGTAATCGCCCGGGCATGCGCCCCTTGGTCAGTGACCTTGGGTTTCTTGCTCGGACGATTCTCCGCCGGGCTGGGCATTTGATGCACCGCACAGTGGGATAGATTAGAGATCCTATATGGAGAGATGGGCCAATGCCGACTGATCCGTGATTGGCTCTGCCATGATGTTGTGAAACCGGATGTGAAATTGAAAGAAGCGAATGTGAGAGTGAGAAAAGCGTCGTCTGCTTATGATTAAGAAGCATGGAAAATTAACTTAGACGAGTCCCTTTTACAGTAAGTAAGCTTAAAATCATCAATAAAAATGTATCACTAGAACTTTTGGAAACAAATATATAATATATATCCTTTCTTAAAAAAGGCATGTTAAATCGATACTCGAAGTTTATTGTTGTCGCTTTTCCGCGATGATGATTGGTTCCCTCGCGTCGCTTACTTCGTGAGCAGTTGTCATCGCGGAGATTTTGACGTAGACACGTGTGAACGTATTGAGGTTACTGAGGTTAAAAGCGTAAAAGACTTCGCTCAAGATCGTCTCGCAATCAGATAAGTTTATGACTTTTATTAATTTATTTCTTCTAATTCTTTGTAGTTTGTAATTCTTTGTGATTCTTTGTGATTTTTAGTTAGAGAGAAAAGGAGACATGTTACATTATTCTTCAAAAAAATGGTACAGAAAGGTTTAAAGGAAGGGAAGGGAAGGAAAGGAAAGGAAAGGAAGGAAAGGAAGACAAGAAGTATGATTTATACGTACACAGTAGGGTATCGATAGTTAAATTTTTCGTTATTAGAGCTTGATATTTTAATAACTTTATGACAACTTTACTCATGTTTATAGAATTTAAAGTAGTCTTTTGAAACGATACAAAAATTATTTTTCATGGTCGTAATGTGAGACTTGAAGAACACAAATTATAAAAATCGCTTGTACAATACTCATAATATAAAAATTACGTAAACAAAACATACGTTTCGATTCCAAACGGGTAATTTCCAATGTTACAATTAATACAGAAAAATTAATTCAGAAAAATTTAATAAGAATCATTAAGTTCTGAGTTGAAATAATTGTAGACATCTTAATGTGTGTGATAAGTTCTATTTCGTAAATTATATGAGTTCGCATTCTTTATTTTATATTTCAGGTCAATGTTCCATCAATTCGTTCCGCTCGCGTATCTGTTTAGCGATGCTGTTCAAGAGATTATCAACCGATATAGCGACGAAGCCGATTTTCTGATGCGATACCATTTCAAAATATTTGCACACTTGTTTCCGAACATATAACTGAATGAAAGAAATCTTCTCGAAGAAATCTGTCGGCACAGAAAAGACGACGAAACTGCCACCATAAAATTTTTCATTCTCGTAATTAGATCCTTGATAAGGGTGAGAATCGTGTCAATTTAGCGACAACGATATCCAATTGTTATCCAGCATACGAAACATGACAATTGTCTTCTTTAAGATGACTTTATCAAATGTCGTAGTCCAAGGGACAAACAAGAAGTATGATTTATACGTACACAGTAGGGTATCGATAGTTAAATTTTTCGTTATTAGAGCTTGATATTTTAAATTATATGAGTTCGCATTCTTTATTTTATATTTCAGGTCAATAAAGTAAGATAGCAAAAAGTGACATTCTTGTCATTCTTGTCCTTTGAAACATGAAAAAAATAGTATCACAGTTTAAATTAATTTGCAAATCACGTTATCTGACATCACTCAGATCGTATGTTTTAGTTCTGCAAATTAGAGCTTAAATTGTGATACTATTTTCTTCATGTTTCAAAGGACACTTAGCATTTTACTTATACAATTAATAAGAATGTCACTTGTTGAGAAATAAAGTTATCGCACGTCGATAGGCTCACTGCGCAAGCGCAAGCAAAGCTTAGTATTGAGGCGCGGAGCATAGTACATGCATAATCTATAATGTTCAGTTGGTTGGTCCGTGACCGTTGTGCACAAGACATGTGCAACAAGAAGTTCTGTTGTTAATACTCAAATCTAATAAAGTGTACTTATATACATATTAAAGTTATCTTTCTCATCAATCCTATCGTCTCTCTTTCCTTTCGATAATCCCAACATCACTTTTTGCTATCTTTTTACTTTATTGACCTGAAATATAAAATGAAGAATGCGAACTCATGTAATTTACGAAATGGAATTTATCACACACATTAAGATGTCTATAATTATTTCAACTCAGAATTTAATGATTCTTATTTAATTTTTCTGTATTAATTGTAGGTTGAATATAGGTAAATCTTCAGATTACTCTCTTAAGCGCAAACTGTTCGATTTCTGCTGTCAGTTTATCATCAGGCTTTGTGAGCAGATCCTGTTCGATTTCTGTTGTCAGTTTACAGTCAGGCTCTGTGAGCAGATCCTGCTCGATTTCTGTCGTCAATCTGCTATCGGATTCTGTCAGTAGGTTCTGTTTGATTTCTGCTGACAATCTGTTTGCACAGAATGTTAACAAGTTACGTCGACAGAATAGGAACAGAATGCGACATCAGTTAAGGTCAGTCTTCTGATCAAATCAGCTATCAGTCTGACGACATTCTGCTAACATTTTACTTTCTGGGCACATATGTTATCAAGATGTGAAGGTCCTGATAGCAAAGCCTGTGAAAACAGACTAGGTGCAGAGCCTGTTGAAAATTTTTGATTGCAGATTGGCAACAAATTGTAGACAGTATCAGATATTGTTAGCAAACTGCTGCTAAACTGCTAACAACGTCTGCTGACATATTTTGCAGCAGATTGGTTGCAAAAACCGAGCAGAGTCTTCTGACATGATCTGACAGCAGATTTTGAGCTGATCCTGCTAATAGAACTTGACTACAGATTGGCAGCAGCAACCGCGCAAGATTTGTTATTTTCATACATGACTCCGTCACGAGATGGACTTGCTTCTCGTAAGAAGAAAACTTTCAAGAGTCTTTATAAGTTTTTTTGACGTTACGAAGAGTTCTCTATGATTTTTAAAGACATATGCGCTTAATAATTATTTTTTAATAATTTTTTAAAAATGGGGTGCTAACTTTTTAACGAAATTCAAGGTCACATAATTCTGATTAGCTTATAACAGAACTGTTTTGTGATTACTTCGAGTTCTTAATATATAAAAAACATTTTTGAAGAAAAATAAAATTTAAAAAAATAGTAGAAATCTTTGAAAAATTTTTTGATGGTACCGAGTAGTTCTGAGTAACGTTTCTTATAGTTCTCGACGAGTCCTATTGAAAACTATTAGGTGCAAAAGCGATTGAAACAACGGTTTTCAAGATACAACGACATTTGTCAGAAGACCAATAATTTTTAGAGTGATTATATCTCAGAAACCGTTGGTCCAATCGCTTTGAGCCCTGAAACTTTTCGACAGAACTTGCCGAGAACTGTCCAGAACTCCGAACAGAACTACTCGGTACTCTCAAAAAATTTTCCGATCTGGGACTTGGAAAAAAATCTTAGGTCAAAAATTTTTTGAGAGTACCGAGTAGTTATGTTCAGAGTTCTGGACAGTTCTCGGCAAGTTCTGTCGAAAAGTTTCAGGGCTCAAAGCGATTGGACCAACGGTTTCTGAGATATAAGGTAAGTGTACCGGTTATTGGACAGTTAAGGAATTGCACGACGAAATCATTTATTTAAACTTTAGAAACATTAAAATTTTAGTTTATTACACATGCTTAGTAAGAATGGATGCTTTCTGAAACTAAATCCATTATCAAATATGTTATTTGCATTTATTATAAATTGTATTTAGTCATAAATATAATATGATTCAAATGTCCTAATTATTGGACAAAAAATGTGACGTGTCTCTGTGTCCACAAAAGTATGACCCAATTATTGGACAAATAATAAGCAATTTTCTTATTATAGAAGAGAATCACATTTTACTTACTTATCAATCAAGATTGTTCAAAAAAGTTTATCGAAATTTTATATAAGTTTTATATCAAGTTTTATATGTAATATATACAAAATATGTTTGCAGTAGACAGGTACGCTAAGGAATGTCCAATAATTGATACACGCATATGTGTGAATGTCCTAATAAATGGACGATTGTCCATAAACGAAATTTTTTTACAAAAGTATCATTTTTAATATGAATAAGTTATATGTATAATACTTAATTTCTAAATAATATGAAAAATTGCTTAAAAATTTATTTAGAGTAACATATATCATCAAAAGTTTAATATTTAAAATTGTCACAATTTGTCCAACAATTGAGTCGTGTCCACGAACTGGTACATTTACCTTACTCCCAAATTGTTGAACTTCTGGCAAATGTCGCTGTATCTTGCAAACCGTTGGTTCAATCATTTTTGTACCTAATAGTTTTCGATAGGACTCGTCGAGAACTACAAGAAACGCTACTCAGAACTACTTGGTACTCTCAAAAAATTTTTTTAAGAC